TAACGGGACCATATGGACATGTATGGAGCAGCCATGCTTCAGTATTAACTTGTTATAATAGACCGTAACAAAACCTTCCAAACATTCTCTCTATAAAGAAGCTTTTACACATGTGCACAAATGTATGGAATGTTACTTGTGACACCTGTAATAACGAAAAATTGCAAACAATATGACTGTCCAGTATTAAATTATAACCCTAAGATAGAATACTATATTGCTACCCAAATTAGTGAACTAGAGCTGGAGGTACTGGAATGGATGACTCTCATGGTATCAGTAAAAGCAAATTACAGAAGATATGAGCCACTAGATGGTGTCATACACAAAACACTTAAAGGCATGCAAACCCATTACTACTTATTGCTTAGGAATTTTAAAACTGGACTGAGTGGGACTGGGAGGTGGCTTGGTGGTAGAGTGCTAACTGAGGTGTGTAAAGGCCTAGAGTTGATCTCTAGTGTTATGAACTATTACACGGGGCAGGGGGGACCCCCCCCCTCCCAAGGGTATCCTGTGCCTTCAGGGAACCATACTGGCATGCTGGGAAGATGTGGTGGGGGGACGACTGGTGGCAACTAACTCCATTTGGGCATGGCAGCAAGTGGACGGTCACAGCCCAGAGGCTGCCTCCATGCGGGAATGGCTTATTATAATAGAAAGACGAAAAGAAGATAGGAAAGAAGAGAGAAAGAGAGGGGGGGGGGTCGAGTGGTGCACACCTCATGGGAGTAGAGGGAGAGAGGGAGAAAGGGGCGGAGTTTTTCCTTAAGAAGAGGCTGCTACATCAGGCCGCAGGGGGGCAGGACCAGAATATTAACACCTAGCACTGCAAACAAAAGGAGATGGAAACAGATGTGTGTGAGAACAAGTAAGAGCAATCTCAGGACGAGGCTACTTCTGTGAGAAGACAGTGGCAGGGAAAGGAACCCAAAGGCCTGGACTGTGCTCGAAAGGATCATTTATTCAGCTGAGTGAGAACTACCAATACAGATGTATTATCTCCAGTTATTGTGGATGTTTTAAGTTTTGGTTTTTTGTTTTGTCTGTTTTCTTGAAGCAGAGTCTCACTCTAGGTCACACTGATCTGGAACTCACCATGAAGCTTAGGCTGGACTTGAACTCGTGTTAAGCCTCCTGCTTCTTCAGCCTCCTGAGAGTTGAGAGTACAGGCCTGAGCACCACCCCTGAGTTCTAACTTTTTTTTTTTTTTTTTTTTTTTTTTTTTTTGGTTTTTCGAGACAGGGTTTCCCTGTGTAGCTTTGCGCCTCTCCTGGAACTCACTTGGTAGCCCAGGCTGGCCTCGAACTCACAGAGATCCGCCTGGCTCTGCCTCCCGAGTGCTGGGATTAAAGGCATGCGCCACCACCGCCCGGCGAGTTCTAACTTTTAAAAGGGGACACAACCATGGAAACTAAAAATATGTTTAGCTCTACAATGACCCAATTTCCACAAAAGGACTGGCAAACAAATGGGAGTCCTGACTCTGAATACATGAGAGGTATCTGATCCCAGGTAACATGCAGGGAACACGCTTCCCTCCCAAGGCTCAACAGAAACACACTAACCTAACTAAATTCTCAGAAAGCAGGGGAGCTGTCACGGACAGACCACCATTTTGAATGGATTTCAGGAAGCCAGTGGAACTTCCCAAGAGATGGCCCTGAGAAGAGGGACTGCAGCTGGAACCACAAGAGAGATGCTGTACTTCACACAATTCCTTGGACAGGAGGCCATGGCACATGCTCAGTCTGGACACACACAGATCAGGTCTGGGAGGCATGAATGAAGCATATTGGATAGGTGTGTAATTTAACATCTGCCTGCTCAACAGCAACTCCTGAACCAACACTAACCCTACCCCACCCATCCCTGGTGCACATCCAGGGAGGCTGGGTGATGAGTCCTCAGCAGGAGCTCCACATCTGTCCTCTCAGCAGGATGTGAAGTAGTAGGTGGGACAGAGAGGGAGCTTCCTCTGGGAAGAGGGTTAGTAATGGCAGTGGCAAAAACAGACTGGTTGGGGGAGGGGGGAGGGGACAGGAAGGGCCTCTCATCCAGCACAAAAGGAAACAAAGTCCTTCTGCCCAAGTAAAATCTTCCTTATCTCAGCAAGTAGCGCATGAGCCAGCAGTTTGCTCTCCACTCAGCCTGAAGGGATGTCCAGTGTGTCCAACACACCAAGTTACACAAGCCAGTGATCAACTGAAGCAGAGACAGACAGACACCCCTCCACCCACCCCGCCCCTTATGGCTAAAGATGGGCTCAGATACCCAAGCCACTACCCAACATTTTAAAGTCACTAGTTGAAGGGCTAGGGGCCATTCAGTGTCAGAGCATTTGCCTAAAGGGTACTGGACAGGGCTGGAGAGGTGGCTGAGTGGTTAAGAGCATGTACTGCACTTCCAGAGGCCACTTAGTTCTGAGCACCCACATCAGGCAGCTCACAACCACCTGGAACCCCTACTTCAGAGATAGCATGCCTCTGGCCTGCTCAGGCATCTGTACCCACACTTAAAAAAAAAAAATCCTAATGATCACCAGACACTACATAGAAAAAAAAAGCCAAATGTGGTGGAGCACACCTGTAATCTCATACCTGGGAGGTGGAGGCAGAAGTATTAGGGGTCAGTCCTTGGCTACAGAGGTAATTAAAACCAGTGTGGGCCCCATGAGATCCTGTCTCACCACAAATCTCCCACCCCCAACCCCAAAGAAAGAGTAAGTGTAGTAACTGAACCTAAGGGCAGGAAAAGATGAAGAAAAAAATGTAACCTCAGACTGAAAAGTCTTTTGGATGTTTTAAGCAAAGGTTACATGGCAGACATGGGAGCTCACACGTTTCATCCCAGCACTCAGCAGGACAGGCAAGTAGATCCATGTGAGCTCCAGGCCAGTCAGAGCCACATAAGAAGGCTCTGTCTGAAGAGGGAGACAGGGAGAGAGACAGACAGACAGACAGACAGACAGAGAGGGAGGGAGGGAGGGAAGGAGGAAGGGGAGAGAGGGGAGAAGGGAGAGGGAGAAAATAAAGAGAAGGGTGCTGTAGAAATAATTTAACTTAAGATCTGAACTACACCCTTATCTACCTTACATGTACATTCAACTTCCTGCATTACCTGTATTATACTTAGCATTATGAAAGATATATGCATGATACTGTTGTCTTTTTTAAGTTTCATGAATGGATACAATTTCCTTTCCCATAGCTGCTTCTGCTGCAGCTGCAACAGCGGTGAGCAGAGTCAACAACACTCACTCGCAATCGGTGAGTTCCCAGCTGAGCGGCATGTGCTTTCCCAGGGAAAGCCAAACTCCAGGCAGGAACATGCTAGGGCAGCAGAATGCTGCCCACAACGAGCAGGAGCTCTTTGGATGCTTACCGGCCCCAGTATCCCAAGGACAGACTGAGTCCTGACTGAGCAGCTTGTGAGGATTCAGCAACACAGCCAAGTAATCCAGTCTGGAAGCTCTGAAAACAAACAGCCCCACTCCACCATTTCGTCCAATCTGTGGAGGCCTTGACACGATTCAGAAATAATTGTGCAATAAATCCATGTCTCAGGGAAGGTTCTGGATGTATCCTTCTTCAGAAGCCAAAGCACTAGCTCCCTTAGACTTTCTGGGAGAAATGAAAGTGAAACCAATCCATACAGTGGAGCATCATCTGTCTCCCACATCTGCACACCACAGAGAGCACACTGTATTCTCTACTAAGGAAGGGGTTCTGTAAGGGCGTGCCTTTAAAAGCTCATGAATGACATCAGAGAGCCCAAATTTAGCTTTCCTCCAGTGTTGACACAAAGGAAACTTTTAAAGTGATGATGATGATGATGCCAAGTCCACTGGGTTGGCATCTTATCATAAAACTGAAGACGTGTTTCTAGTTCCTCCCACCTTTGTGTTAATACACAAGGCCTCCACAGCAGGCTACTATTTAGTTGCCCACTTCCAGCAAAACCATCAAGTCCTTCTACAGGGGAAGAAGTAAGGGTAGTCACCCTATGGCTTCTGGGAACTGAACCCAGGTCCTAACACCACAGCAGAGGAGGTCAAGTTCTCATAATGGAGCGAGGAGGAGAGCATCACATGATTTGAAGCCCCACTGTTACGATTCTGCCATCACAGCACTAGTCAAGCCCAGGCGTTCTGACTCGTCCTAATGCACCAACCCGTCTATAGAGGTCCTCATGTTGTGGTGACCCTCAGCCACGAAATCATTTCAGTTGCTACTTCAAAACTGTAATTTTGCCTCTGTTATGAATTGTAATGTAAATATCTGTGTTTTCTGATGGTCTTAGGCGACCCCTGTGAAAGAGTCATTCGACCCAAGAACCACTTCTCAAGTCAGTTTGAGGGCTCAGGATTTGTCCCCACAATATGTATGTCTCTTTCTCCTCTGCTCACACACTGTCCTAAGCTGCTGTTATGTCCTCTTTTACAGTCAGCAAGCCAAGAGACACAAATGACAACTGAGCCCGATTACTTCATTTTTAAACAATCTGAAATGAGACCCAGACAGGTCCAGTGTCTCAACCAGGGTCACACAACTGATTAGGGGTAAAGCTGAGACCCGAAGTAGGCCTCTGCAGCCCTGTGCACTCTTCCTTCATCAAGAGGCCTCCTGAGAACTGCCAGGAGACAATCACATGGACCTCTACGTCTTCTCTCTGTGTCTCTCCTGGGTACAGCTGTCACTCACCAATACCCTTCCCATCTAACTCAGTACCCATGGCAGAGGATGAGGAGCAGTAGTCAGGAACACCAGCTGCTTCATCTAGAGGACACTTCTACCATTTGTAATTTTATATTTACCATTGAAAATAGAAAACACCTTCTTTTCAACATATTACAAAGCTCCATAGTTATAGTCACAATTTAAATTCAGAAAAAAAAAACCTAAATAACTTCAGATTCCGGCATTACACACACGAGGCTAAACTATCATCACTTCCTTCAAAGAGAAGCAGGGTGAATCTGTAGTCACTGTGGTACTCACCACAAAGGTGATCTGATTGTGTCGGAGGTTAAGTTCAGTTAGCGAATCCAGACCATTGAGATTGTCAACGTGACTCAAGAGGTTCCTGGCAAGGTTTAAAACTCTCAAATCACACAAATGATTAACGTTTTCAATTTTGGTGATCTGTATAAAAAAGAAAAGGGCAGGGAGAAGCATGATTAGCATGGGCATGTCATAAAACTCCAAAAATAAAATATTCAAGTCACTAGATTTAATGACAAGTTTATACCGAGACATTCATAGTCCATCTAAGCATCTCACTGCAAGTCCTATGAAGTCATTCAACTTGTGAAAATTAGCTAAGGATCCTAGTGACAATTTGACCCTAACAAACATATCGAGAAACATCAGTTTCCTCAAATAACCATGAGTCCCTTGGAGCAGTTCTAAGGCTGCCAGCTCCTCCATCTACACACTACCTGTCATACAGAAACTGACTCTGGTCCAAAGTCACATGCTCACAATGCTTTGACAAGGCACACCAAGCCTTTGAGAACAAAAGCAAAGGACAGGACTACCAGGATCTTGAGGACAGTGAGGAGTCTGACTGGGATAGGAGCCCCTGTGGGAGGAAAAGATGGACTCTGTAACAGAAGAGCTCAGGCCAGGAGACAATGCTCAGTTAGAGTGCAATGTAGTAGGCACTGGCCTGCAGAACAGAAGAACTTAGGTTATGGAAGCCACAGAGGCACAGAAGCATGGGCCCACAGCAGAGCAGCCTAAGTTCTCAGGAAGTGAGGCAAGCATAGCATTATTATTACCCAGCCAGCACAGCCCAAAGGTTGAGTGTCTCTGACACGGGAGGTGGGAGAGGTACTCATCAACCTCTTCACAGGACATCCTTAGGGAACAGAGATTTATTCAATGTATCACTTTTCATTAAGGGGCTATGTCTCGGGGCTGGAAAGACACCCCAGGGCTGGGAGAGCTTGCTGCTCTTGCAGAGGACTAGAATTTGGTTCCCAGCACCCACATGGAAGCTCACAACTGCCTATAACTACAGCATCAGGGGATCCAATTCTCTCTTCTGACCTCCATGGCACCTGTGCAAGCATGCGCACACACACACAAATCTTTTTTTAAAGAATAATTTCATTCGTTAGATACAAATCTGCTCATTTACATCGCTATAACAATTGGATTTTTTTTTAAATCTAACATTTCAAAGCAAATGTTTGCTAAAAGGCTTTCTTTTTAGATTCATAATACAGTTTCCATTTATGTGGACTCTTTGCAACCAACAAATATCTGTATCTTTCTAAGCTCAAGAAGAGACATATGCAATGGTGTATTATAAATTGGAAAATATATGAAGGTAACCTGTGGTTATGTCTAAAATTTGTTCCAAGTTTTTTCATCTAATTGATTTAAAGCAAAATAAAGTTATGTAAAATTTTAAAAAGAAATGTCCAGATTATGGCGACTTATAGATGATAGAACTGTACAAGAAGATACAGAGTAGCCGGGCGGTGGTGGCGCATGCCTTTAATCTCAGCACTCAGGAGGCAGAGCCAGGCGGATCTCTGTGAGTTCGAGGCCAGCCTGGTCTACAGAGTGAGATCCAGGACAGGCATCAAATTACACAGAAAATCCTGTCTCAAAAAAAAAAGAAGATACAGAGTAAGACATTTGACAATAAATGTATAATGTAATTTGAAATATATGGACTTAATAAAATTATAACAGAGACTGTATAAAAAGAAATTAGTAATATAAACACAAACTTGAAAAACTCTCCGGAAATACTGAGAAAAAGCAGAAATAGGAGTGTGAAAGAGACAGGTGTGGAGATGGACAGGAGCTGTAATTATAACAGAAAAAAGAATCAGTTTGAAAATATGAATGGCCAACTCTGCCAAGACACAAGAAAGACACAAATGGGTTACTATAGTTGAGGTCAGTGTGCCCCGCAAGTCCCCATAGAAAGGTTGGGTTCCTAGGGTGCAGGTACCAGGGAGTGCCATGAGTATTAAGAAGTAAGGCCTAGAGAAAGGTCATTAGGTCACTGGGATGCGCCCCTGAAGGGGATTATGGGACCTCAACCTCCCCTCCTCTCCTGTTTCTTGATTCAAGATGTGAATGCTCTCTCTAATGATTTCTCCTGGCTTTGCCAGAAGCCCAAATGCAGCCACCTTATTTTAGATTTGAACCTTTGTGAGCAAAAAGGAACCTTTCTTTACTCGAGTGGTTTATGCCAGGTTTTTTGTTTTCATGAACTAAGTTTGACTAAGTACAGCAGTTCTTTCTTCTATATATATTCCTGAACGTTCCCTTAGGAAACTGTTTCTCTAATTCCTCATAGACCTGTGGGGCCTAAATCAGAGCCTCTTGCATTTTTCTGCTATTTTTACTTTGGAAACATTGTTAGTGCTTTTATTTAAGTATTAGTCTATAATTTTAGAAATATTTGCTTATCTTCTATGTATACGTGTTTTGCCTACATGTTTGTATGTGTACCACATGTGTGCTTGGTGCCCTTGGAGGTCAGAAGAGGGCATTGGATCCCCTGGAACTGGATTTATGGATGGTCATGAGCCACCATGTGGGTGCTGAGAATTGAACCCAGGTCTCTGCAAGATCAACATATGGTTTTAACCACTGAGCAATCTCTCCAGACCCATTAATCTATAAATCTGTAAAATGATCACTAGGGATGTTAATTTGGCTTCTTACAATTCCATAAGTCACAGCAAGTGGTAGAATAAAGTCAGTAATTCTCTCAGCCATGGACAAAATTACAAGGACAGAGAAAGTGACAGAAGCTGTAGGCAAAGAGTGTGCAAAGAGCACACACAAAGGCTTTGATTGAGACTTCACAGACAGACAAAATGATGATGGGAATGTTGAAAAGGAAGGTCTAATTGTGAGCCATGGTGACTAGAGTCCAGGGCTTCTGAACACATCAGGAGAACTGTATGTTCCGGTGTCTGGATAAAGACAAATTTCCCACTCTGGATAAGGAAAGGGCAGTGTCTGTGAACCACAGGAAAGGTATGTTCTCCTTGAGAAAGCTATTACTGAAAGAATAGAATCTTCTAGAAGCACATATGTATCTTTTTGAAGAATCTCTAGGAAAACAAAGTCTGGCAAGCCAGCTCAAAATCTGGATTAGAAACCATCTAGAGCCAATCTCCCAGACGCCTCTGTATTCACCATGGAGAAGGCTAAGTCTTAATGTTCTTACTTTATAAATATTTATTCGATCTGCTACCTTACCACAGACATACCACTAAAGTGTCCCCATTGTGAGATTACTCTGACTAGTGTCCCAACTGTCCTCTCTCCAGAGAACAACTTCCCCCTGTGTCAGTCAGTCCTTTATCACTTAATACAAGTAAGAGTTATCCAGAAAGAGGAAACCTCAACTGAGGCAGTGGCCCTACCAAACTGGCCTGTAGGTAAGTCTGTGGGGACATTTTCTTAACTGACTTACAGTGGAGGGCGCAGCCCACTGTGTGTAGTCACCCCTGGGCAGTTTGGTCCTGGCTGCTATCGGAAAGCAGGTTGAAGAAGTAATGAAGAGAAAGCCAGTAAGCAGCATCCCTCCACTGCCTCTGCTTCAGTTCCTGCCTCTAAGTTCCTGTCTGACGGCCGTTCATGACGGACTATTGACTTTAACTTTTCCTCCTTGAGGTGATTTTGGTCATGGTGTTTATCACAGCAATAGGAAGCAAACCAAGACAGCTCCTCCCCATCACTTTCCACCCTTCGATCCTTTTCTTGACCAGAATCACCACTCCTCAAAATACTTTCATACCAATGAGACAACTGTGCTGAACATTATGCTCACTGGGCAATCTTAATTTCTAATGAAGCATAGTAAGGTAGAAAAGACCAGTTATTAGATATTGATTTATTTAATGATTCACTTACAGCACCACCTGGACTGCCTATTGCCACACACGGGTTCCCTTGCTACCTGGAACAGAGTGACCTGGAGACACAGCTGAAACAAAGGGTCGTTGCCCTTAACAACCTGCTGACGGCGGCCACACAGGCCTCTTGCTGACGGCCATGTAAGCGTCTGTAACACCTCGCTTGCTCAATCCCCCACCTTGTGGTTACAAACTGGATCTCGCACTGAAGCCTTTCAGGGGCTGTCCTGGCTTTGGTCCACTGGTGCCATCTCCTCTCCTCCACCCTCACTGGTGTTGAATGCTTACTCCAGAAAGGTTCCCACAATGCTAATGAGAGTGAATTCTAAAGATCATCAACTTTCACTTAACTGGTGCTTACCCTTTATTTATTTTTCTTACATTTATCGATTTTATTTAGGGGAGAAGGCATGCAGATGCCCAGCATGAGTGAGGTCAGAGTGTCCTTCTACCATGTAAGAACCAGGGATAGAACTCAGGGTTGGGAGTACATGTCTTTACCCCTCAGCTGTCTCTCAGGCCCTGATGCTAATTTGATGTTTGTATTGAATGGTTCACCTTTTGATGTTTTAGGGACCTAACACCACAAAGGTTGTCCCTCTTCGTTCTGAAACACCAGTTTTGCTTGTTGAAGTTGGGTATTTTAAAAGGAGACTCAGATTCTCATTTCAAACTCCCTCCTTGTGACTATGGAACTTTAGGAAATAACTATTTGATACAAACGTGCAATCTTAGTATCGGACTCTGATAGCATGAAGCTGTAAGATATGTAGTATGGTGAGCCTATGAAGCATAGTGTTTGCCTGAACAGTGTCCAGCAGATGACACTTGCACATGATCAAGTGACGCAGTGTTCGTTACAGGTGCCTGCAAATTCTCAAAGGTATATCATAACTTAAAAGTTATTAAAAGACTATTTCTATATCAAAATAGTCTTACTAAAAGTATTAGCATCATAAAATGCTTCACCTGCATGGTAGTTTTTAAATAGTGTGTATGACTGACTGCTGATCTGGTCATCAAGTTGCCTGGATGTGGAATGAACTAAGGTGCAGGCTGACAAACACTCCAGAGGGATTTTCCTCATCAGATTACTTGAAGTGGGAAGATCCACCCTAAATGTGGGTGGCAGCCAGATAAATGGGGACAGAAAAGGGAACCTTTGCTTTTTGCCTGCTTGCCCTCACTCTTGCTGGCAAGGTCGGCTGCATTCCTTCACAGGTGTTAGAACCAACTTCTCTGGGATTCCACTGTAAACTGTAGACCAGGAGCTCTCCCAGAATTCTCCAGGCCTGTGCATCAGATTGGGAGTGCTAAAACATCCAGCCTTGTGGACTAAGCAACTAGCAGATTTTTGTTCTCTCCAATGGGAGACCACAATTGTTGGACTATAGTGTATGAGACATTTTAATAAAATACAGACACACACACTGCCTTAGTTAGTTTCTATTCCTATGATGAGACACCATGACCAAAGCAACCTTGGGGAGGAAAAGGATGTATTTGGCTTATACTTCCACATTATAGTAGATAACCAAAACAAGTCAGGACAGGAACTCAAACTGTGCAGGATCCTGGAGGCGGGAGCTGATGCAGACAGAGGCCATAGAGGGGTGCTTCTTACTGGCTTGCTCCTCATGGATTGCTCAGCCTGCTTTCTTACAGAGTCCAGGACCACCAGCCCAGGGATGGCACCACCCACAATGGCCTGGGCCCTCCCACATCAATCACTAATTAAGAAAAATGCCTACAGCCTGATCTTATGGGGGCAATTTCTCATTTGAGGTTCCCTCCTTTCAGATAACTCTAGCTTGTGTCAAGTTCACATAAAACTAGGCAGCAGATACATGATACAATTTCTGTTCCTCTAGAGAATCCTGACTAATAAGTATGCTACAAGATAAAAATTTTACTATGATTACAAACCAACTTAAAAACCCACAAGGGCATGACGAAATCCAGGGCAGTGATGACCTCTGACAAATAAGAGGCAGAGTGAATGAGAAACACCGATGCAGAAGGAAGATTACAGTTCTTGAGTTTGCCTACATAAAAACTGTCATAATTAGACAGATCCCCAGGGTCTTGTCTGTGATTTATTTCTAAGAAACTAGGAAACCCTGCACTAGAAGGCTGAAGACCTTAGAAAGTCAATGAATTCGTAAAGTGACTCTTACAATTCAATGTTAGCATGATACTGGAAACATTTATAACATGAAATGTGCTGGAGACTTTCAGAGAAGGAGGGGGGAGGGAGGGAGGGAGGGAGGGAGGGAGGGAGGGAGGGAGGGAGGGAAGAAGAAGAGCTGTACAATACCTGATTTCCATGAAGGTCCAAGACATCTAAATTTTTTAGATTCTCCAGATTTGAGATTTTCCTGATTCTGAAAATGAGAATAAGCAGAATTGAATAGAAATGTAGATACATCACATCTATGACTGAATCAAAGCTGCTGAGGCAGAAAGATATGCTCATTTTAATATTAAAACTCTTGGCCGGGCGGTGGTGGCGCACGCCTTTAATCCCAGCACTCGGGAGGCAGAGCCAGGCGGATCTCTGTGAGTTCGAGGCCAGCCTGGACTACCAAGTGAGTTCCAGGAAAGGCGCAAAGCTACACAGAGAAACCCTGTCTCGAAAAACCAAAAAAAAAAAAAAAAAAAAAAAAAACTCTCCATCTCCCACTGAATGCGCACAGAGTAGTAACAGATGCATGCCACTGGGGAAAGATGCAGAAATGGCTCATTTTAGAGAAAGCAACGCTACTTCTGACCTCCAGTCAAAGCGTGTGTTGTGGGGGAGGGGGAGGCAGTGCCAGGCACAGTGGAAGTGTTAGCCAAGTACATCCTTTTCCTCCCCAAGGTTGCATTTTGAGACAGGGTGTTTCTCCAAACTTGAAGCACACCATTTTGAGTACACTGCCTGGCCAGCAAACCCTTACAATCTGCCTGTTTCCACTCCCCATCACGGGGGTTACAAGTGTACATGACCATGCCTGGCATTTTTAAGTGGAAATCTGAACTCAGAACCTCATGCTTGTGTGGCAAGGATCTTACCCACCAAGCCATTTCTCCAGGCCCAGAATCATGCTATTAACATTTTGAAACTTACTCTCCAGGGATAACAGAACTTGTCATCATCCAGAGCACTCTGATCTAGAGGACCAATGGAACCCATGTGTAGTTAGAGCTCTCTGATCCACCCATGTGTAGTTATCACAGCAAAGTGGAACTGAAGGTTCTGGGTAATCATGTAATGACAGTGAACCTGAGACCTCAGGGCTTAGAGGACACAAAGGAAATGGCACTGAAGGAACTCCACCATGGGCCAGCTGAACCCAGAAGCCTGTATGCTCTGGTCCCACTGCCTCAGTAATTGTCAAAAGAAGGTAGGGAAATCCGTTCTGACCAACAGGAGACAGAAAGTCATCCACAACACACAGCTGGAGATGGCTTCTGCTGGCCAGAGCTCTCATCTAAGAGTCTGTGGGACTTATGTCAGCAGATGTTGCAGCCAGGAGCACTGGCAGATGTTTTAGGAATCAGAGGTGTATGCAACAGATACTTGTGAGACACCTGATCTTGGAGAGTCTAGCATGTTGTCTTGTAACACAGTTCCCTTTGATGCATGGGCACTAGCAGCTCAACAACTGTTTAACAGTGTCTCCAGTAAAAATCAAAATACAGCTGTGCAGAGCAAGCAAATAAAAAGACAGAGCAGGAGGAGGAAGAGAAGGAAGAGGAGGAGACTCTTAAATTGTTTTTACTGCAGAAAACAAGCACTTAGCAGAGGATGTTGGGTCCCTAAGAGTAGGAACCCCAAGGCCTTCAATAAGGCCCAACAATGCTGTCTTCTGGGTCAAGATGAACAAACTGCTTCTCAGAAACCAAAAAGCAGAAACAGGCAGGAAGAACAGAGATATGATTTTAACTGATGCAACCAGGATCAGCATTTGAATATTGTTTACAATTAGAGATGGGAATCACAGGTATTTCTCGAGAATATCTTCATCTTAGGATGAAAAGGGAGACATTCAGGCAGTGGCACTAGAGAATAAATGTGAGCTAGACACTAAGAACCAAACACTAAGAACCAGACACTAAGAACTAGACACTAAGGACCAGACACTAAGGACCAGACACTAAGGACCAGACACTAAGGACCAGACACTAAGGACCAGACACTAAGAACCAGAAAGGAGGCATGTCTGTGGAAGCTTGCAAGGCCCAACTGGAAGAAAAGCCTTAAAGTCAGCTTCTCTCCTCACTTTCCTCAGTAAGCTGCCTGGAAACATCCTCCTGGTGTGTGGTAGTTTATACACAGCTGACTATGCCAGATCCATCCGGCCACTCCATTCCCACATCTCTAAAATGAAAAGGACTGACTTCTGAGGTCACCTTAAACTTTAATATTCTATGGCTCTATAATCTCCCAAATTCTCTTTATGTGAAACGTTTCTTTTTCTTTTCTTTTATGTTAAATTATGTGTTTATGTGTGTGGAGAGAAAGTGAGTGCCCTGCCCACAGAGGCCAGACAAGGGCATCAGATCCCCTAGAGCTGGAGTGAAAGGCTGCTGAGGACAGGCCTGACATGGATACTGGGAAATAAACTGCAGTCCTCTGCCAGAACAATATGCTCTCTTAGCCTCTGAGCTACCTTACCTCTCCAGCCCCTCAAACTCTGTAATTTATTTTTTAGTGGAATTCTTAATGCAACATTTGAACTAATAAACTACACTGATAGAAACTTTCAGAGAAACATCAGGGGAAAATACAATCCTAAAATTCTGGGACATGACCTTGAGAATATAGTTAAGAAGACAACATCTCCAAACACAGCACTTGGAATATTATATAATTTAAGCTGAAATAAAGAAAACTGGGCCGGGCGGTGGTGGCGCACACCTTTAATCCCAGCACTGGGGAGGCAGAGGCAGGCAGATCTCTGTGAGTTCAAGGCCAGCCTGGTCTACAGAGTGAGATCCAGGAAAGGCACAAAGCTACACAGAGAAACCCTGTCTCAAAAAAAAAAAAAGAAAGAAAGAAAGAAAAGAAAACTGGAGAGGCAGGAAGGTCACACTGACCTCCTCCAACCACTTTCCCTCCAGGCCCTACAAAGACTCTCTGACCTACATCCCTAAGAGTACATCTGGAGCCCCTCTGTCCAGATGAGTCCTGCTTATAAACAGAAAACAACAGGGATGCAAACAGCCACGGCAGGGACTGCACAAAGGGCTAGCTGAGTCGTCCAGATTACGACCACGGACCATGTTCCTTCTGTCCAAGACATTCCTCTAAGGTTGCCCATGAGCCATCAAACCTACAAATACAAATGTAACTTTTAATCTGTTTCTTTGGGTCTTCTTATCTGAAGACTACCATGTCACATAAAGTTATATAAACATGTTGTGATTTTCTCTTACGAATTGCTCTGTTATCAGGGGTCAGCCATGAACCTTGCAAAGGGTGAAAACAAAAAGTGTTACTAATTTTTAGACTCTGTTAATCCTTCTTCTAAGGTATCCAAAGTTATTTGGTAAAACTGAATGACAAGTCCGAAGTGATTTCAAGGCCATGAGTCAGGAACTGTGTAGCTACTGCCTGATGGAGCTATAGAAAGGGGACTGGGGCAGGACACAAGATGCGACACTCAAACAGACTGAGGGGCTAGGGGATGGCACCCTTGTTAAGAGCACCTGCCGTCTTCACAGAGGACCTGGGTTCGACTCCCAGCACCCACATCAGGCAACTCACAATGGCCTGCAATTCCAGCTCCAGGGGATTTAACACCTTCTTCTGGATTCCATAGGCACCAGGCACACAGGCAGTACAGAGACATGCACTCAGGAAAACACACACATATATAAAATTAAAAATATAAATATTCAAATAAAACATACAGGAACTACTCTCTGAAAAAGAATTGACCAACAATCACAAAGTAGCAAATGTCCCTCTCAGGCAAACACTAACAAGAACAGCAAGAAACACACAAGCCTCAAATGAGCACACATGCTTAATATATATCCTAAGAAATCATAAAGTCAAAGCTGGGCTCTTCCCCTCACTTGTGTCTAAGGCATGGCGCTGGAGCAATGCCAAAGTCCCACTGAACAAAACCAGGATGGATTCTTCCAGTGTGGAACTCAAGCCCAGGCTCCCATGCATGCATGGCCGGTGTGCTACCCCTGACTTCTGCTGAGCTTTCCTCTAATGATACCTACAGTAAGTACCACTCTGCTGGGACTTACCATCTGAACACTATACAGATTCTACTGGGCTACAAGCCAGAACTGCTCCCCGGGGGCTTAGCGGCTAAGAGTGCTGCATGCAAGCACAAAGAACTGATTCTGCATCCCAAACACCCACACAAAAGCTGGGTGCATCAGTGTGGAATCACAGCACTGCAGAGGCGGAAACAGGAGTATCCTGGGGCTCACCGGCTGGCCAGTCTAGTACCCCGCCCACCCACACACCCAAAAGGCAAGCTCTAGGTTCAGCGAGAGACCTTGCCTCGGGAAGAAAAGGCAGAGAGACAGAGCAGGACACCAGTGGACCTTCTCTCACCTCTACACACACTGTGAGCACCAGTACAGGCATGTGCACACATAAGCATCTGTTCCTAAACACACACACACACACACACACACACACACACACACACATGCACACACGTGTACAGTGCACACCCCCACGTCACATGCCCACACACACAGAGAAACTGCTTTACAAATACCTGTTTTTTCCTAACAGAAGGACACGGAGGGACTTCAGAGTGGAAAGCCCACTGATTTCTTCAATCTGGTTATCGTATAAATCCAAGAATATTAACCTCTGTAGATTAGAAATATTTTGGATCCGAGTTATAAAATTGTGCTGAAAGTTCAACAAACGAAGGTGTTCCTCCCCATCGATGATAGGACACACAGTCAACTTTTGTCTAGAAAAAAGCATGAAGGGAGTAAGATTCTGAGGCAGCGAGCCCTTCCCGTTTCCTCTGTCAAACACCATCCAGCAGCATGTCTGTGCACCCAGGCTTTGAGGAGGAAAAGGTAAGTTGGGGCTGGAGAGCTGGCTCAGCACTTAAGAGTACTTACTGCTCTGACACAGGACCCAGGTTCAGTTCCCAGGACCTCACCTCAGCTCGCAAGTGCCTGTAACTCCAATTCAAGGGAGTCCAGAGTCCTCTTCTGACATTCACAGGCTTAGGAATGCATGAGCTACACAGACCTACACTCAGGCACACATGCCTACAAGTAAATTTGTATTTTTAAAGAGAAAAAAGTAATTTGGACCACTTCCTGCCCGCAGGGAAGAGACTTAAATTTAAATTGTACAAAAACCAAAAGCCAGAAGACACTGACAAAGGTAAAGTCTAAACTCACACTGTATTTTAAAACGAGTCTCTAATATTCATTTCACATGACATTAACATCAAAAACCTTAAAATGTAATTGTTTTCTCGGGGAAAGGTTTAGATGGTCAAACCAAGTCACAAAGTCAGGGGAAAAAATGTCTTTGGTATCAGTCACTGATGGCGAAATTTTTCTGAGCGACCAAGTCATGGGAGCACAAACCATACCAAAGAGCTTATTTTAGAATTACTGATTCACAAAATGCTCATGAGAATGAGAAGAAATATTGCCATCTACAAGAGGGGACACTGGTGGAAAATTCCACATGAAGCTCCTTAACTGTAAGGCAACCCTTACTGAACATCTCACAGGGCTGGCTGCCGGATTCGATTGTCCAACACTAGCTTTCTCTGCAGAGCCCTCATGGTTCTACAAGAACAGATGAAAACATAATTCTGTGTCTATTTAGTTGTATTTAAAACAGTGAACCTCTTCTGTGCAAAAAGCTGGACTGTTTCGTATGTGAAGTAAATAAGTTCATGGCCCTTGAAGAATTCGACCCATGTCATAACATGGGGAAGGAGAAGGTCCTGGGTGATTCTGCATGAAGAGTCAAATGCTCTTCAAGGAAAATACAGCTCGCTCTGTGCATTAACAATATTAGTGTGGCTAGTTAGAAACATCCCTTCAGTGAAATCACACGAATAGAAGCTTTGAAGAAAACAAATCAGATGCTATAAACACAGGCAGAATATGGAAGTGATCATAATTCTTTTTGCAATGAAAAAAATGGTAAGCAGGAAAAAATAAGGGAATATTAATGGTTATAAAGCTATCATGCTTTAAAAACAGACCCTTACAGCTGGGCACAGTGGTGCACGCCTTTCATCCCAGCACTCAGGAAGCAGAGGCAGAGGTAGGTGATGGGTATCTGAGTTTGAGGCAAACCTGATCTACACAGTGAGTTCTAGGCCAGCAATGGATAGAGAGTGAGAACCTGTTTCAGAAAGAGAGATAGATAGAGGCAGGGGAAGAGAAGGAGAGAGAACAGGTGGGGGAAAGAGACTCTGGAGAAACTGGTTTAAGGAAAGAAAAGTAAAAACCACAGGCAATAGTACCAGTTTTGTGTGGCTCATATTAGAATTCATCCCATGCTTTATACTCTCACAGCTGACATTTCTGTTACATAAACTATAACTTAAATGACTACAGATATGCTAGCTGAAGTCTGTACCATTGCTCTTAGCAACCTTGAACCGTACCCTCCCTGCTCAGTCTGTCTCTCATAGTGAAAGCCTCAACGCCTGTCTTTGAATCAGTTGTTACTCACATGGGAAAATCACAAACTGCCTTCCTTTCGCAAACTTCTATGTCTTGAAATAAAGTCACTTTCCCTTACCCCAGGAATCCCTGCCAGTCCACCAAAACAAGATAGGAAGCCACCAAAACAAGATAGGAAGCCACCAAAACAAGATAGGAAGCCACCAAAACAAGATAGGAAGCCACCAAAACAAGACAGGAAACCACCAAAACAAGATAGGAAGCCACCAAAACAAGACAGGAAGCAGTGGCCTAACTACCCCAGGAGGGCTCTGCTAAAGGCCGTGGGTTCTGACCCCTCCTGCCCCATCACTGATGTCTGCCTGTACACAATATACCATATTGTGTACCCTAATAAACTTGCCTGAGGATCAGAGAACAGAGCCAGCCACTGGATTAGACATAGAGGTCAGGTAGTGGTGACACACACCTTTAATCCTATCACTCAGGAGGCAGAGATTTGTCTGGATCTCTATGAGTTCAAGGCCACACTGGACTACACGAGACTGATCCAGTATAGGAGAGATATAGAGCCAGGTGACAGTGGTGGCACACACCTTTAATCCCAGCACTTGAGATCTCATGCCTTTGCTTAGGAAGCACACACACCTTTAATCCCAGGATGTAATATGGCAGGGCAGAGAAAGGTATTTAAGGCGTGAGGAAACAGGAACTCACTCTCTTTAGGTTGAGGATGTCGTAGACGTAAGAACTAGTGGCTGGCTGTTCTGCTTCTCTGACCTTGCAGCTTTCACCCTGATATCTGGCTCTGGATTTTTTTTTTTTTTTTAAAGCCCATCTATGATTCGAACAACATGCCTGTTTAGGACCATGAGTTTGACTTGTTTCCTTCTTTGAACAGGCTGTTTTTTCTGGTATTTCAGGCTTCTTTTCATACCAGTGAGAGCCAAGTACTTCTTAGGGCTAGAGTCTTCCCTTGAGCACTCAGACCCCTGACCAAGAAGCCATACACACACAACAATGCAGAAATCACTACTATTACCCACTAGCTATCAAACAAGGTTTCCCAAGGTGGTTCCTTGCTGCTGACCCAACTTTAACTACACATACAACACCTTATGTCACAGACAACAAACAAAGTCAGTATTTAACATATTAGAGAACAACGTTAAGTACTAAGGGGGGAAATAAAGCAGAGAAGGGGGTGAGGATGTGTATGTGGTAGGGACTGCATCTGGGGAGAAGGTGGCCATAGAAAGTCACCCTTGGGATGATGACGTCTGAGGGAAGACCTGAAGCAAACAGGAGAGACAGATGTTGTGAAAAGGAGAAAAGAAAATGTCCTCACCTTTCTAGGGTCAGCCTGTCTGAGTAAAGAACTTTCTCTTCAGAAGAACGCTGGAGAATAGGAAATGATGGCATTGATGAGGTCACCAGATTAATATGATCACCTATTGAAAATGATACACAAATCACTTGATTAAGGCAAATCTTAACAGTTGTGATACTAGAGCCACTGTTTATTTAGAGAACTTTGGAACCTACAGATATCTTTTCTAGACATTTCCACAGCTTCCATACTAGAAGATTATTACACTGGGGTTGTTTTCTTTTTCTAAACCCTAAGCTCTGTGCTCTGTTGGGGCCAAATAGCTTTTGCTTGCCTTACAGGTCAGCTGAAAAATCTAGACGTGCTCTGGTGCTGTCTTTATCCCTTTACAATTCTGACTCCTGACACTACATGCCAACTACACGATACACTACATGATAGCCCCTCATTACCAGATACATTGGGGCCAGCACTATGACAGCCCTGCCGGATTCTGGGCTTTGAAGGTGTCTGAATGGAAGAGTCTCCAAATGCTGACAAGGAGCTTGTGGCCGTTCTCATGTCCAGCCCACAGGGTTCTGTCCCGTTTGTTGTGGATGAGATGAATGATGACTTATTACGAGGCGACGGACTTACTACTCTTCCATCTCCTTCAAAATATCAAAAAGTTTATCACAAAGCTATAAAATACATGACTTTGCTATAGGATAGACACAGAAAGTAGTTTGGGATAGCAGGTGTAAACCTCACATCACTGTTTTTTTCCCTTTGAGTAGGCTACTACTATTATTCGATAATGTTCCAAAGACACCAAAGTGGATGTTGACACATTTAGGATACTGTAACTAGGATCCAAGAGCATATGACACCCTGTGAAGTATACAGGCTGCTGGCTGGGTGTTTCTGATAGCAAGAAGCATTTCATCTTGGAGAAAAACACACATGAAATGAATAAGCTAGAAGAATGTGCAAAAACACAGACTATATAAGAACAGTAGAGGGAGCCCAGTGGTTAAGAGCACTAACTGCTTTTACAAAAGACCCAGGTTTGATTCCCAGTAACCACATATAGCAGCTTATAACCATCTGTAACTCCAATTCTTAGAGATCCAACTCCCTCTTCTGGCCTCTGGAGGCACTGCATGCTTATGATGAAGACACATGCAGGCAAATATCCACACGTACATTTTTAAAATACTTACAACTACTCTTTAAAAAGAACAGTATCTTTGCATGTAGTGTGTCTAGTTACTGGTTAATAAAAAACATCACAGATGAGTTTAGAAAGAGGTGAATACTAAGATATATTCTAAATAAGTAGAAGATTATAGAGTGGTCTGGAAGCAAGGATAAAAAGATCCAAAAATCTGAATACCAGAGGATATCTACTATATTCGTCTCTGTAGAGTGAGCGACCACTGAAAGCAGCAAGTGACAAGGAAGAACCTGATGGAGCAATCAGCAGGATGATAGACCCCGAGGCTACCACAGAATCCTGCTCCTTAGACTATCTAAAGAGGAAAACCTAACCTTCTGAGAAGCTGACAGACTTTCAGGAGGTCATTACTAATATGAAAATAGCCTAAAATCAAGTCTCACACACACACACACACACACACACACACACACACACACACACACATCTCTTAACTGAAAAGCAGTGGTATCAGTATCAGTTAGCCTTTCCAGCAATACAAGACCAGGCCATCTCATGCTTTCCACAAGATAATCAGTGCTCACATCTCACTTTCCTGAATAACATGAAACATCAAGAGAGCTAATAATGCTGTCCCAAGAAGTAAGCACCTAGAATGGACACTGCTCAGTAACAAATGTCAAGTAACAGGAACACTCGCTGGCAGGATCCCCAAGCCACAGGAACCAATGTTGTTGGTTTTTTCTCTTTTGGGGGGCCCACCACCCAGCTCCCAAATAAATCACACACAGAGGCTTATTCTTAATTATGAATACCTGGCCTTAGCTTGGCTTGTTTCTAGCCAGCTTTCCTTAACTTAAATTATCCCATCCACCTTTTGCCTCTGGGCTTTTCCCATTCTCTTACTTCTGTAAATCTTACTCGTACTCCTACTCCGTGGCTGGCTTGTACTGGGTGGCTGGCCCTGATGTCCTCATCTTTCCTCTCTCACTTCCTGATCTTTTCTCTTCCCAGATTTCTCCTTCTATTTATTCTTTCTGCCTGCCAGCCCCACCTATCCTTTCTCCTGTCTTGCTATTGGCCATTCAGTTCTTTATTAGACCATCAGGTGTTTTACACCGGCACAGTAACACAGCTTCACAGAGTTAAACAAATGCAACATAAATAAAAGTAAGACACCTTAAAATAATATTCCCTAACAAACCAACACAGGGATTTGGAGTTCAAAGGCAAAAACAGCTCAAGGATTAGCTGCAGCATAAAGATTAGCTGTCAAGGTAAGTAGAACACGATGAAAGAAAACTCAAGGGAATAAAGAATCTCACTTTGTCTGATTAACATTTCATTAGGTTTTTTTGAATTACTATTAGAACTTCAAGGCAATCTGAGATTTAACAGTAGATCAAAAGCTTCCATGACTTGGAATGCAGTGGCAAAAATCAAAGAGTAAGTTTCATTTACACTTCATGAATAAAAGAATTCTATCCTCACATGTTTCAGCTCCTCTTACATGCAAATGTCATTATTTTCAGTTTACCACTGATATGATATACACCCGACCACAGATGGCAAAAGGCAAAAATGATTAGGGAAGAAAATCTTAAAATCTATACACAGGATCCTGTGACTGGGACACATAGGAAGCTTTGAACAGCCACATGTTTACGTGGGTATATGTACTCCCGTGGAGACTGCCCCCAGATGGCTTGATGTCCACAGAAGGGGTGGTGTCACTCCTCTGTCACACGTCCCCTGACTTCCTGACCAGATCTGTAAGGTCCCAACCGCTGGTCTCACCTTACATCTCAGCAGAACTTAGATGCAGGGGCCAATCGGGAGATTTTCCACTTTATAGGAGCTTAAATGAAAATCTTTTTTTTTTTGTACTTTATTTCTATTACAAAGAAATAAATCAGAAATTCCTGCATTTTCATGTAAGTAGTGCCTCAAAATGCTCAGAAGCAAAATGCTCTACAACTGGTTAAAACGACTGGTGTGGTGTAGGCTAGACAGCTGGAGGACGGATGTCCCCATGAGAGGGTGGTAGCAACAGGCAGCCCAGGGAGCACAGCACACTGTGGAGGATAGCCACTGAGCCTCATCTTGGAGAATGTTCTGATGACCAACATCCTGACTAGATTTTCCACTCATCAGCCATGACGTCAGGAGCTGAGCATTGCTCCTCCCCCCACAGACAGACTGTGTAGGATCACTTAAGGGACTGAATGGGACTGCAGGAGTCACTGGACTACTCAGATCTTACAAAGCCTTGAGGACACAGGCTAATAATGCTCAGCAACACCCAAAAGGCCTACCAACAGGAAACCACACATGGAGAGTTAGATCTAAACTCTACCAGTCTGAAGTCTAAACTTTAGACAAACTAGTTTTGGAACATCAAGTTCCTTTATTTTGACTGAAAGAACCATTGGCTATGTTGTGTTGGTAGATTGTGTGTGGTTAATTTTTAAAAATAAGAAATGTCTGAAGTGGGTTGTGGAGGGCTAGATGTGAGAGTGTAGTTTATCACGCAGAGGTCTTCTTGCCTGACAAATTTAAATTTAAATTTTTTTAATTTGTCAACTTAATTTTTTCCAGAGTTGTATGCTCTAGGTTGTAGAAAGTTGAGTACAGAAGTCAAGATAATATCTACAACTTATGTGGCTATCTTTACATAATACTGCCTAGACCATGGAAGAGGTGTAGTGGAAATGTTAAAGTCCACATTTAAGACATTGCAAATGAGTGTCTTGTCACAGAGAATGGCTATGAATTGGATCTTTTAAGAAAAAGCAAATTCAATTTCTTTCTGCTTAAATTTATTTTTATTTCGTATTTTATGGGTCATGGGTCTTATATATAAAACTTTGCCTCTGGGGTTCACAAAATCATATATCCACACTACTTCCTCATTAGGAAATATTTGGTAATGTTTTCTCACTTATCATACAAATATAAATTAACAATTCCTTGAACTCTAGAAAAATGTGAGAAAGTGAGATTTGTTCACAGCTGAGGGACAAATCACGATGTTCCTGTGCAAAAATTTTAAAGAAATTCACAATGAAGACATAAAACAACCTCCAGCTGAGAGTTTGCAGCTCCATGTTGACCACAGTGGAGAGGGCAGAGCACACACCCTAGGAATGCACTCAGCACCAAATGAGGGAGGTGGGGGGGGGGGGGGGCGCTGATGCTCCTGCACTCCGGAACTAGAGCTAGGTGGTGTCAGTTCCAGGAATTGACAAAGTCTTGAGTGGAGGATGTAGGAAAGAGAAAAGCCAGCTAAAGTTATATGGGTCCAAGAGGAAGGCCCAGAGATACAAAAAAGACATATTAATCAATATTCAAACTATACAATACTGCCTTCTGTCAACACAGTAATGAAACAGACAATCAAAAGGCCTGTACTGTACAATCAAAGCCCTCTTATGGCAGGCAAATCAACAGGATCAGAAGGCATAAGGGGCCGGGGGGTGCGAAGCAAGTGCTCCTAAGAGGCAGAGGTAGAACCAATTAACACTAGCACACCCCAAATAACTAGCTCAACTCAGAGTAAAATATTCTGAAATAGACTTGACTTGTGTTTTAAAAACATGTTTCAGAAGTACCACCAAATCATACTACCTAACATCTGTCCAAGGGTGGTCTACAAGCCACATCACCACCACACTTGTCAGAACCACCCTGGTGCTGTGAATGCACACCCCAAATAACATCCAAAACTTACCACATCACAGTGAAGAAGAGGGGAAGGATGCACTACGATTCTGCATTTTGAACAAACTCCCAAGTGATTCACATCAAGATTAAGGCTTCTAATGATGAAATGCCTGTGACTGTGTGGCTGTGTGACTGTGTGGCTGTGTGACTGTGTGACTTTGTGGCTGTGTGACTTTGTGACTGTGTGACTTTGTGACTGTGTGGCTGTGTGGCTGTGTGACTGTGTGGCTGTGTGACTGTGTGGCTGTGTGACTTTGTGGCTGTGTGACTTTGTGGCTGTGTGACTTTGTGGCTGTGTGGCTGCATGGCTGCGTGGCCGTGTGACTGTGTGACTTTGTGGCTGTGTGGCTGTGTGACTTTGTGGCTGTGTGGCTGTGTGGCTGCATGGCATTGTGGGAAGAAGATGGTTACCTTGTATACCTGACTTTCCACTGTTTTCTCCACATATCCACAGTTCTACTAGCTAGCCATTATTTTTATTTCTAATGTATGATCAGAACATTCTTCTCCTATTCTCTATTGCAACCTACTTTCAAACTAAAATAAGTTTTTTGGGGTTTTTTTTGTTCGTTTGTTTTGTTTTAATGCATTGGAAGCAATCAACTATGGTGTGTGTGTGTGTGTGTGTGTGCATGTGCGTGTGCGTGTGTGTGTGTGTGTGTGTGTGTGTGTGTGTGTATGTGTGTAAATCTATACCACCAAATCTGATTTAAACAAATATCAAACCAATTTTGTAATCAATTGAACTATTTCATTTTGTAGTTCCGGTTCTAGGCAGACAAGATAAATGATACTGTGTAAAAAGCCAACCTGTCTCAGCACCCTGACAGTACCTTGTCTACTTGAGTAGTTTCTCTCCAGATCATGCTGTAACAGTCTCCCAGGAAATGATGGTGTTTCTCTATTAAGCTTGAATTCAACCTGCAAAACAGTATTTAAGAAGATATTGGGAGAAAAAAGTAACAGTAAGAAATGAAGTTTATTATAAAGCAATAGATAAAATATGCTTTAAAAAAGGTTGACCCTTGAAAACATCAAGGGCCACATATTATATGATTCTATTTATATGAACTACCCACAATTGGAAAATTCATAAAAATAGAAAGCATATTTGTGGTTTCCAGGGGTTTAAAGTAAGTGGGGAATAGGGAGCAACTGCTTAATAAATTTGGGATTATGTTGGAATGATGAAAATGTTCTAGAACTAAATCGAAGTGATAGTTGCACAACACTGTGAATGGCCTTAATGCCACTGAGCTGAAAACCTTAAAACAGGCTAAATTGGAATTTGCCTGGGAGGTGTGATTCCAAACATAAAACTGAAAACAGTTATAGAAGATCAGATTAAAATACTTCTGATCCCTCCACAAATATAATTGTCACAAATACCATAACTGAAAGAATCATCTGCTCAATTAATAAAACTGCAAACAATAAAAGCTAAATGGAAATGTTTTTATTTTTAAAATACTTTAAACGTCAAATTTTAACATAATGAAATTGCATATTTAAGAATAATTTTAGCCGGGCGGTGGTGGTGCACGCCTTTAATCCCAGCACTCGGGAGGCAGAGCCAGGCGGATCTCTGTGAGTTCGAGGCCAGCCTGGGCTACCAAGTGAGTTCCAGGAAAGGCGCAAAGCTACACAGAGAAACCCTGTCTCGAGAAAACCAAAAAAAACCCCAAAAACAAGAATAATTTTAATAATTTTTATTTTTTAATGTTGCACATTTTTTTAAAATTAATTTTAAAATTAATAATTTTTAAAATAATTTTTCATAGGACTGAAAATAATTTTTTATAGGACAGAATGACCTCTTATGTTTAGCCATAAAAACTTTAAAAATATATCTTCCAAGGCTTATGATGCTTCTCATTCACCCATCCTATAAACACCACATCAGCATTAGCATCTTATCACCATGAACACTACATGTCTATGCACAAAAAAGTGAATGGTACAAAAACGATGGTGAAAACCACAGCACTCCTAAAAGCACTGAACAGTAGAAAAGGACTGACCGGCAAAGGCAATCAGGAAAGCTATACAAGCAATCCACTACGCCTGATTCTAAGAAGAAGCACCTTTTCCATTAACTCAGCTCTTATTGGAGATGATCAAATGATGAGACAGGGGAGTCAAACAAGGAAGCGTTTGCGATGTACACATTTTAGAGGCAGCAACCTCTAAACTAGTGGCTCCCTTCCATTCACCTTCCTCCGGCCCTGGTTTAGTCTCTTCCTGCCGCTGTCTGTAAACTCTGGCCTTTATACTATAGAGTTTCTAAAGAAATGTCTATTTCACAACTTTTTAGGGAACAATTGAATTGTGATCGTTGAAAATGTACACTTTGGTTATAGGGAGAAGTGTATTGTGTATGAATAGCACAGGAGGGTGGGTGAGTATGTGTGAGTGCTGAGGTGAGGCCGGAAAGAAAGAAAAGGTTTTATCTCAAAAAACAAAGGAAAAGCCAGAAATTCTGGAAGTTTCCAAAATATGACAGGTAATTGGTATGAGTGTAGAAAAATGGTTCTGGGGTTAAGACCACTGCTCTTCTTCCACAGGACCTGAGCATGGGAGCACCCACGACAGGTGGCTCACAACTGCCTGTAATTCCAGCTTCACCGGACCTGACACCTTCCTCTGGCCTCCACAGAGACACAGATACACACACACACACACACACACACACACACACACACACACACACACACACGAATCCCACACTCAATATACTATGAAAACACCGTAACAATATTTCCACTGCTAAGCCAGTTATTCTTCTCTGATTTGAAATGAAGTATCGAGTGAAACCCTCCTAAAATGTTACATTTTATTCTTCCTGAGACACCACCAGTAGAATGACACCATCATTTTACCTATGTCTAAGAAATAAAAGCATTTCTCAATTAAACTATGTCATACAACCAATCTTAAGAAATACCTTTGGTAGAAATGTTTACATGTAAGGGGTGGGGGTGGGGGAACTCTTGTAACCAATGGAATGGCCTAAGTTGATACAAGAGGGGTTATTTGGCTTTTTGTAGGCAGAAAATAAAATCTACTTTACATTGGAAACCAAAATAGATATACTCAATCTCCAGGTCAGAATCTATTGTTAAAACATGCAACTATTTGTGTAGACTATCTAACAATTTATTTTCAACTTTTCAATACAGATCATCTTAAATCTTACTTTGTTTTTGTCAGGAATCGACGACGTTTGAATAACCAGATGAAGTCCACAGTTCACCTGAAATTAAATCACAAAATGTACTCTTAATATATGTAAATATACACATACCCCCCCCATGGTACAAAGACATCACAAAAATCGGAACACCGTCAAATGCTCCATCATTGTTTGCTTTTCTAGTTAATAATCATTTATGAAGATTTGTAAAATAATGTCTAAGAATTAAAAGCTTTCATTGATTTATTTCTCAAGATGTCGGAGGCACCGATTTAACCCACCTTGTACCTCAGGCTTTGGATCCCTGCCATTTCTCTTGCCAATCAATATATCAGTGTTCAAATGAAGGAGGTGGGAGTGTCTAAGAACAGGTTCCTTTCTCAACCGAAAAAAGAAAGAAAGGGGGTGGGAGATAACTAAAGGAATCCCAGTGTTTACCTAGCAGACCAGCTCCACCTTCTGGGGAGCTCAGATCCTGGGCAAGATTTTAAACATCCATCATACCATATTCAAATACCCTGCGAGTGCTTTGGACTAGCCCCCACGAACCCCTAACCTCAGTCAGACAATAGCTTGAACAGCCCTGGCCCCAGTTATGCAGCCCATCACCTAGGACAAAGACGCCAGTCAGAGAGGACAAGACTACTGGAAAGAGAAAAAAGCAGGAAGGCCCAGCTCACATTGTTTGCAGCCCGGCCAGAAACGGAGCGGTATTTCCCGGGAATCATGGCAGGAGACAGTCCAGGATGTTCGATCCTCCTTCGAGGTAATGCTACAGCTAAGATTCAAAGAGACCAAAAGGGGTCATCTCCCAGGCAACCCGCTCAGGGGTTGCCATAGAAACCACCATTTCCGGTCTGGTCCTCGTCCCAGATCTGCTGGCTGTCCGAGTGGTTAGCCTCGGGGTGTATCTATCAGGCCCGGTGCGTCAGCACTTCCTCGTTCTGGCTGTTTTCGGGCCGCGTGAAAACAGCGGGAGGATCCGGAGGAGGATAAGACGAGGAAGAGGCTGGCCACATCGGTGGCTATGGCAACTGTGACTTCCGGTCCTTTCCTCTTTACGACCCGCCTCAACTCTGCCCGCGGGAAGTTTGATTCCCTTTGCCTGCATCTCCCGGTTTTCCTGGGAGATCGCTGGGAAGAGCTGGATGAAGATAGCCAAGAACCTTCCCATTTGGAACCCCAGTTCGGCACTTCCGCTGAGCCGAGGCCAGGATGGATACAGCCGGTCGAACCTAGAGACAAACAGTGAAGGAGAAGCCTGCTTCCCTGAGGCCACTTCGGGCACAGGGACCAAGTGCGCTGGACCTGGAAGCCCCTGCCCCTTAGCTCCAAGACTGCCTACCTGTCAAAAAAATTACTGAGGAAGAAAACTGTGAAGCTGCTGACTGAAGACTAGGCTTGCTAATAATCCCTTCCCGTACGCAAGCTCATATGACTGATACCACCTGCCTTCAAGTTCATGTTCCTGGTGAGCTGAACTTCGCATCTTGTCCCCGCTGCTCAATTTTCTACCCCCAAAAACACAATTACACTTACCTTGCATCTGATTACCACTGCTTGCTCTCTTAAAGACTTCCAGGCCCTCTTTGAGACAATCAGGCTTCCGCCCTATTACCATTACGTGAATTAAACAATGGCTCCATAATTGTGCAGAAGAAATGTTTAGTTCTAAATTTCAGAAAAGTTTGCCAAGAAGTCAAGTGGTCTGGGGCTGATCTCCAAAATATATAAATAACCCAAGAAACTGGATATCAAAATACCAAATAATTCAATTTTAAAAATGGGTACAGATCTAAACAGAGAATTCTCAACAGAAGAATCTCAAGTGGTCAAAAGATAATTAAGGAATTGCTCAGCATCCTTAGTCATCAGGGAAATGCAAATCAAAACAACTCTGAGATACCATCTTACACCTGTCAGAATGGCTGAGATCAAAAACACTGATGACAGCTTATGGTGGAGAGGATGTGGAGTAAGGGGAACACTCCTCCACTGTTGGTGGGAGTGCAAACTTGTACAGCCACTTTGGAAATCAGTATGGAAGTTTCTCAGAAAGTTGGGAATCAATCTACCTGAAGACCCAGCAATACCACTCTTGAGCATATACCCAAAGGATGCTCAATCATACCACAGGGAGCCTGCATGGGACCGACCTAAGCCCTCTGCATGTGGGTGATAGTTGTGTAGCTTGATTATTTGTGACCCCTAGCAGTGGGGCCAAGATCTGTCCCTGGCATATGAACAGACTTTTGGGAACCTATTCTCTATGGTGGGATGCTCACTCAGCCTTGATGCAACAGAGAGGAACTTGGTCCTGCCTCAATTTGGTATGCCATGCTTTGTTGACTCCCATGGGAGGCTTTACCCTTTCTGAGTAGATGGGGAGGAGGTAGAAAGAAGGTGGGAAGAGGGAACAGGATGAGAGGAGGGAGGGGAAAATGTGGTTGGTATGTAAAATAAATAAAAAATTTAATTTAAAAAAAAGAAGTCAACTGGTCTGTAACTGACATTTGGGCTTTGAACATGAAACATGTGTAGAATAATAGGGCTGAAGGAAACATTATTTCTCAACTAGTCCAAACCCATCATTTTTACATTAGGAGACTTGTCCAGAAGTGTTAACTTCCTTAAGGGTCTGGAATTCTTATTGTATTCCAATTACCATACCAATATTCTTTCTTCAATACCGAGCTACTTCCCACATCTGGGTGGATGCCTAAGACCCTTTCTTTAGTGATATTCTGTCACTGTTTGGAATGCAAACATATAATTTTTGGAGCAAAATTATGAACACAACTTACACATCCTTGCATGCTTTTTGTCCTTGCCCTACTACACCTGCTGAGTTTAACAGTCCTTAACCGTTCATACATGTAATACTGACCTTAGATTTTAGTTCCTCTGTATTCCTTTCTACCAAGACTTTGATCAGCTGTCCCATGAAGTAACTGAAGTTGTTCCTCTCCCATTTTCTGGGACCATCAATAAAGTCCTGCATGGCAGTTACAAGAATGGACTTGGTGGCCAAGTCCTGGGTTTTAATGATAGCTACTACTGAGTTCCCTTGGTGTGTTTTGGAAGGTGTTCAGATAATACCTGTTAAATGAATCATAGAAGCATTCCCTACATTTAAAGCTCTAGATATTTCGGGTCTTCTTGATGGGCTCTGAAGAAGACCCTGTCAATCATACGCATTCCTTTTGTGTGTATGTCCATCCTTTTCTTTTTCCAGCTCCCCTGAAAAGGTTAGAGATGGAAGGAACTTGGAAAACCGTCCCGTCAATGAGAAAACCATTCTGTCAATGAGAAAATGCGGTGAAGTGTTTGTCAACACTGACTCAGCTGTTTAGTGACAGATAACATCAAAGTCTTCCCTGGCTCACCAACTTAAAGATTTTGTTTACGGCAGGTTGAGAAATCTCAGCCATTAAAGGCACTTGCCACCAAGCCTGGTGACCTGAGTTCAATCCCCCGGGACCCACAAAGTGGGTGGAGAACTGACTTCCATATGTGCACCCTGCCATATGTGTGTATGTACACATATAAAAACAGGTAATAACTTAAAAAACACCATTTAACTGCCTCAAGTGACTGTCACATGTCTTCTACCCGCCCTGCCCTTTGAATGTTTCCTACTCTTTCCTCCAGGCCACATTCTCAAGCTTATTATTCATTTTAAGGATTTCCTCTGGGGACAAGGCTTGACATTCACATGCTGCCAAGTCCTGATGTTGATGTAAATAACTCGGCTACCCAGGTGTTGTCACCCATTCATCCACTTTTTACCACCCAGGGCTTAATTCCTGCCCTGGAGAAGAAAGGTGGATCTTCTTTCCTGGTGGAACTAAGAGGGCCGGATTTGCAGGTATTCCAAGGGAATTATCACTGCCTGCTTAGTTTTAGGTCACAAGGATCCCAGACACCTAGGGCATGTTTGGTATTGTAGCATGACGGTATTTGTAGCTATATATTCTCTCTCTTTTTTTTTCAATACAGGGCTTCTCTGTGTAGCCCTGGCTATCCTGGAACTCATTCTGTAGATCAAGCTGGTCTTGAACTCAGAGATCCACCTCCCTCTGCCTCCCGAGTGCTGAGATTAAAGGTGTACACCACCACTGCCCAGTTTATATTCCCAATATTATACTTCATTCTGAGATAACTAAAACCAGATCATCCTTAAACAAGTTTTCCTAGCTGGACTAAGTTTCAATCAGGTATGGTTTTAGCTACCACCACCTGGAATAATGAATTTCTACAGTCAAGGATTGTGTCTTGCCAGGGTCCAGCCTTGGCTTGGGTTTAGGTCTTGAGACGGGGAAAAGGTGTTGGCACAAGGAAGAAATATGACCACCAGGTGGATTGCACTCAAGTGGCCCCAAATAGCTTCAGCCATTTTTATTTACACTGTAGCAGTTTTTTTCTACCAGGCTCTCATGAACAGCTTTACTACTGGCTGCTATTTTTGACTTTTAAGAAATACATCATAGTTTAAGAAATACATTGTAGTCATTATAAAAAGCCCCCCATTGTTCCCCTTTACGGATCCCCAAATACACTTTCCCACTCCCCACATAGCCTTATTCTAGACATAGAGTTCAGCATTTTTGCAGGCTTAACTAAATATCCAGCCAGACACATCCTTCTCTGCAGCACTTACATCAGCTGACAGCTACTGGGGTTACAAAGTTAAAAAGTAATAGACATGGGCACAATGCTTTAAGGGCAATATTCAAACCCAAACAATTCTTTCATGTCTGCAAGATATGCTTTTATACAGTGTCCTTTTCCACAAGAGGTCCCATGTCTCAATCTCTCTGTGAAAGGCACGCTTTGATAAGGCACTCTTGTCCCCTCTCACTATACCATACTTCTTCACTAATATAAGCTCCTGTGTATGGTAAAGATGGATCTATCCACCCCATATTTACATTGAATTTTTTCCCATTGGATCATTCCAGATCCTGCCATTGATTCTATATTCTTGGTGTCCTGCTGTGGGATGTTCTGTATGGCAAATGTGTTGCTGATTAGTCAATAAATAAAACACTGATTGGCCATTGGCTAGGCAGGAGGAGAATAAAGCTGGGAAGTGGAAGGCTGAGTCAGAGAGACACTGCCAGCCGCCATGATGACAAACAACATGTGAAGATGCCGGTAAGCCACGAGCCATGTGGCAAGGTATAGATTAATGGAAATGGATTCATTTAAGCTGTAAGAACAGTTAGCAAGAAGCCTTCCACGGCCATACAGTTTGTAACCAATATAAATCTCTGTGTTTACTTGGTTGGGTCTGACGGCTGTGGGACTGGCAGGTGAGAGAGATTTGTCCTGACTGTGGGCCAGGCAGGAAAACTCTAGCTACAGTGTCCAAGTTGGCACTATGTGTATTCCTGAGGCTTTCTCCCAGTCTGTGTATGTATGCCCTGCTCTCCTTTCCAGAACTGTGAGACATGGTTAATGTTCCAGGTCTTGTTTTCTGATATGTACCTAACTATCTCCACTTAATCAGAAAAGTTCCCAGGATTAGGAATTGTAGTTAGTAATTCCAGATAAGAGATTTGAGAAGCATCAGCCCCCCTGCTGAAGCTTAAGGGAAAGTATTAGAAAAAGAGCAGAATTTCCCAGGAAAATGACAGCTGCCGTGTGTGACTGACAAAGTAAAACTAAAAGTCACCCAAAGAATCACCAATATAATGAGAGAAAAAAGGGCCTGCAAACCACACAAATTTTGCAAATTCCTACACTGTCCCATGGTCTACTGATCCATGCCAATTGAGAATCCATTTCCATGGGTGCCTTGCTCCGAGGAAACCCACTGGACAGGTCATAGGCGGATCTGAGACTAGAAGGCTCCCGACAATGTCTCTGGTATTTCTATCTTTTCTTTACTGTTCCATGGCCATGCTGCACTACCTAGTTGATGGATCCCATAAAAGGCCAACAATTACGGCCTTCCTGTCTGGAGGTAAAATTGGTTTCTCCATTTCTTGACTTTAGTTGGCCATGTGACTTATTCTGACCAATCAGCAAAGGCAACTCATGCTGAAATTTGAAAAGTACCTGAGCAATGGAGTTGCCCCTTGATGTGTTCCTGACCCCAAGATTACCAGGAATACTACCTCATACTGAGAATGAGAAAGCCATATAGAGAAACAACTGGCTCCTTCAAAGAGTAATTCAACTGTCCCAGTGTGAATGAGGACACCGCAGGTCACCGAGCCCCTTCTTACATACAGGGTGACTGAACAGACACAAATAAAGCCAGTAGACCACTGAGCCTGCCAAGTCAGACTGCCCTAGTCAACCCAGGAGATTGTGAGATGAATCAACAGTGTGCTGTACGCCATAAAGTTGTATCATTTGTTATGCAGCACACACTACCTGATATACTCGTGGTTTATCAGACCTTCCTTAAAAAAGGAAAAAAATCAGTTACTGCTTTCCTCTGCCCTCCCCGCATCATAGCCCCCATCTTCCTAATTTGGTTAGTAATTCTGATGTATATGGTGTTTCACTTCACTTGATGCAACAGTAGGCTAGAGTTGTTGAATAAAATTGGGTCAATTAGAGGGCTGGAGAGATGTCTCAGAAGGTAAAAGCATGAGCTCTTGCAGGGGTCCCAAGTTTGGTTCCCTGGACCCAAGTCCAGCGGCTCACAAATGCCTGGCCCCTACCAGCATCTGAACGTACAGACAAGTGGGCACATATACATACACCCAAATAAAAGTAAATAAATAAAATTTTAAAATTGCAGATTGTAAACTTAGATCCAACTTGATAAGACGTGTGGAAGACTGCATATTTTTCTCTCATGGGCTTTGGAATCTCTGGAAGGAAAATGTCCCCAGTTCTCTCTGTGTTCTACAATTTTAGCTCCAAATCACTTCCCCAGTGGACACGGCAGCTGTCTTAGATCTGCTTAATGAGCCTCTCTGGTTTAAATTTCCTCTTTTATTAAAAAATACCAGTAATTTTCTCCTTCTTGACAAGCTTCCTTTTAGAACATGTAAACTTTTGAAGAGCCTAAATTACATCACTACTTTATCTCCAACACCATTCCAGGCTTCCAGATCACGATTTCAGATTCCCCGATTGGATGTCTTGGGAAGTTACTTCCAAACACTCATTCCTTAAGATCGTGTCTCCACACCCATTACGAACATTTTTTATTCCTTTGATAAACTGAGGATAAAACAGAAACCTGGTTTAAAAAACAAATCAGTCCTTGCCTTCAAAGATCATCCAACATATTGAAAAAGTATAAACATTAATTTCTTCCATTTTCTAGTTAATATTTGATCTCTGGTAGAAAAAGGAGGATTGCTCTGGTTGGTATGATGACCCTGAGAGGGATAAGAAGAACCTACCAGG